CTTCCTTCCTTCCTTCCTTCCTTCCTTCCTTCCTTCCTTCCTTCCTTTTCTCCTCCTCCTTCTTCTTGTCATCTGAATACTGGAATTAAACATGTGTGTCACCATACCCTACCTATATCTTTGTTTCTTGACATTCTTTGGGGACACTAGTCCAGGGCACTGGCCAATGTGCTGACTGAAATGCTTTCTTCAGGACTCAATGTAGAACTTACTTCTTCCCATAATCCTTCCTTGTTCTCCCTGGCACCCAAGGTTATGTCAGGAGGGAGTCCCATGAACTTCCTGCACAAACAAGGTCCTCCACCCTGTTTCTTAGCAACTAAAATGTCTTCAGAAAACAAGTACACATGAGAGATGAAGCTGACCGAGCCCACTCCCAACCTCATGGTTCACCCAAAGACTTCAGAAAACTAACTTCAGCTCCAAGCTGTCCTGGCTTTACCTCCCATGGAGGTCCTCCTCCTGGGAAGGGCTTATCGATCCGTGCTCTCTGGGACAGAGATGTTGACAATTTGCCTTTTCTCAGAAACATGCAGCAAAACAACCTTTCAGATGTAGCCCAGCCTCCATTGCTCAACCTGGGTCTTTTTCCTGGAAACATCTGATTGGAAAGGGATGTTAACTATTGATAAATCATTTCTCAAGCCACTTTGGACATGTGGACCCAAGTGTACAAAAGACACGGACTCTAAACTTTGAGGGTTTAGTCAGCAGACTCCGGCACAGGAAGACATGAACCTATTTCTTTACCCCAGGGACTTGCGCTTCCAAGGTGGCTTTAAGTTAATGTCCTCAAGAACTACCGCATTAAGTCACATCTCTAGTTCAGACAAAAGTACCAGAAAAGATTTTCATGGGTCTGAACTTGAAATTACTATACCTACAAATGGCATCCGATTAACTCTTTGGCCTGAATCCAAAGTAAATGACTCCTGTCCATTGTATTCTCAAGTGAATGTGCCTCTCCCGTGGCTGCGATAGTTGGGAGGCAGCAAAGAGCTGTTAAGTCATGGCAAGATTCCCTGGCTGCTTTCTGATTTTCTGTCCACCAGTTCCTCTTCAGGGCAGTTGCAGTCCCTGGAAACTGAAACCATATGAACAGAGATTAGTTTTCTAGAAACCAATCACACACACACACACACACACACACACACACACACACACACACAAGCACAACAAAAATTGAGATGGTGCATTTAGAGTCTTTAGAAGAAGAAAGATGGCCTCAGGCCTGCTGAAAAAGCACTAAGAGGTCTTAGCTGAGTATGTGGGGCTGACAAACCCAGAAAGTCCTTTGCCAAAGCCTTTCTGTGAGGAGAGACTCTTCTGACCTAAGCTCCTGTGAACTTGGATAGATGGTATCAAGTCAGTAGGAGACTCTGTGCTGAGACTCAAAGTTCTAGGTTTTCTGTGACAAGTGACAGGAAGTACCAGTGTTCTGAGATGACTTGGGTAGGTGGTTAGTGGATTTCTTTTCCTGCGGCTTCATATTACCAGGCTGGATCAATGTCACTAAGCTCTGAGCCCTGGTGGACACGCACATTTACACAGAGTCATACAGGTTGGAAACAATTGTCCATTGACAGGAGGGTGGGGAAATCCTAGAAAGACAATGAAAACATCACCTGTCCCGTTCACATTGTGCAAAGCCTGATCCAGGAAGAGGCTGAAGGTGACTGTAAAGAGAAGCCTAAGCAGGTGCTCGGAAAACAGCTGCCTCACACAGAGAGAAGTGCATCGGAAGGACAGTGTGTTTACTAGAGCATTGTATCCACTCCCATGTCCCCTGGGCCTCATTCATGCTCCTGCTGAATGTCTCATTCACACAAGGAATTCATTCTTCTCCCTCTCCCTACTATGCACCCAGACATTCTGTACAAACCGGAGCCTGATTCAATGTTGAATTCGGAAGGCTTTATCCTGACATCGTATAAACTGGTAGGTGAGTACAGTGACCAAATTAATGAAACTTTGGCTCTGTCTACTGCCCCACATCTCACTTCCATCAATCAGGCATTTCACAGAAGTTAGATCTGGTGTGTCTTGGTCTGCCTCTCACTCAGGCAGAGCGAGAGAGTAGGCAAAGCCTCTGAAGAGGGTCTTTGTCTTAAATACAGCCATATTGAGTGCCCTCCATCTCTTAAAGTCACCTAGTAAATTTGTAGAGAAGGGAGGTATAGACCTGGGAGGATTCGGGAAATCCTGCGTGGGAGACAAGGGAAGGATGGACTGTGTCCACTGAGGTCCACTTAAGACACTCTGGGTTTGTTTGGATTTTTGTTTTGTATGAGGCAATGCCTCCCTATGCAGTCCATCCTTGCCTCAAAACTTACTGTGCAGCCCAGGCTGTACTCAAATTCACGTACGCCTGTCTGAGCCTTCCGAACACTGGTGTTACATGCATGTGCTGTCACATGCAGCCACCGCAGGCATTCTAATACAGAAATCAGGCCTGAGCTTTGCTTTTAAACTAATCACAATAAAGTAACCCTCTTCATGTAATAAATAAATGTCTCATCTTTTAAAAATTAATTAAACATACTACTTACATTAATCAGGAATATTCATTGCATGCTTAATTACATAAAGAAATGAGGTTTAGTGTGATATTTCTGAACACACACATTGTTTGCATGGATCAAGTCTATGGCAGGTCTCTGTGTATCACAAAGCAGCTACTTTCTAAGAAACTCAGACTTGTGTGTGGCGAAAGAAAGACTATTCATAATGATCAGAAATAGCCATCTCAGAACCTTTGTCTACAACCATGAGCACACAGATTCCCTTCATTTACTTCAACCAAACTCAACACAACAGATGAATACAGTCAGACAGAAGAGAATTCAGCCATCTTTGCTAAGCCAAATATTCAAGATACCTGTAATTTTTTTAACGTAATAATTGTTTTTCTCTGGAAAAAATCTAATTATCTTAATTATTTTTATGTAATGGTACACTGTTCATGTCAATATTGAATGGGTTTACTATTGTTAATTTTTAGATAAATTATGCATAATGTTTTATATGTCATGAGTACAAGTATCAAAATATGTCGTTCAGGTAGACACAAGCTCTCCAGAGTCCTCCTTTTTATACTGAACAGCAGTTTTGAACCCAGAGTTGTTCAAGTTTTCATCCAGTTTATCTTCAGAGTAAGGTATGGGATCCTCAGTCTACCAGGATGGAATCCAGGGCCCTGAGGATGAGTGTCAAATGTTCTATCCCTGCGTTGTACCTGCAGCCCCACATGTCAAGACTTAGGGTACCTTTGGAGTCCTAGAGGGGCTTCTGTCCAGCCTATCAGCCAAGTTCTGAGACTTTTTTCTTGACCAAAAGTTTGTAGAAAGCTGAGTCACGTTTGGACACTGAGGCAAAAAAAAAAAAAAATGGCATTACTAAGCCATCTCCCAAGTGACCCCTTATTTTTTTCTTTGAAAGGGAGGATCCACTATGATGAGGTGAACACATTAGGGAAGGGCAAGTTCATGGAATCTCAAGGCCATCCTACCTGTGCTCAGCTGCCTATGCAATGGTTATAATACCCACAAGCAGAAGAGAGCTGTGTAAAAGGACTGAACGCAACACAGACCAAGCGGTGCCCAGCTCTGCCCTGTGGAAAGAGTGCAGAACTCTCCCCTGGTAGGATTTGCATCTATTTGTGCTACCTGAGGTGGAGGAGTTGGAGCTGGAGCACTGTACCAGTGGGATGCCCTGCAGGGGGAGCACCTCGTTTGTTTGCTCCTCTGTGAGAACTAAAGTGGGGTGTAGTGTAAGCCCCACTTCCGCTGATCTTGCAATATTGACTGGAGCTTTCAAATTGTCTGTCATCTACTATACCTGTTGCAATTGCTTTATGTGTTAAAAGAAAGTTTCCACCATGGGGTTTCTCATATATGGTATGAGTAATGAGCAGATGCCCTTGAAAGACTGCTGTGTGTATAAACCATGGGCAGACTGAGTGCTTCCAGGGGTATTTGTATCAGAATCTAAGGATACCAAATGGTACCTGAGAATGGCCACGGCTGGAACTGCTGAGCTCTGCCAAGATGGGTGTTTGGCCCTCGAACTTGGTGATACCAAAAAGCTCCTTTGCTCATGCAGTCTTGCTGACTGCAGTGAACCCTCAGAACTCTCATGTGGGTTATCCCCTTAAAAGCCATTGTGCCAAGATGACACCCACCCTCTCCTGGGACCTCATCAGCATACCACAGACCTTCGCAGCAGAGCTTGGCATTCTTATAATATTTTAATTATCGATGAGAGCATTCTGTAATTATACAGATGATGCTTCCTCATATTTTTGGTATGTCTCTTCATAAAGCATTTAAATTGTAAGACAGAGAGGTGAAGATCCCTTGATTCTAAAGGGGGAAAATATCCTTCGTGGACAGACAGAAACCTGGATCTACATTCAGCAGCTTCCCTTGGGGAAACACCAGTGCTTCATTCCCCAGACTTTTAAGACATGCATTTGCGTACCTGTTTGACAAAATTCACAGTATCTTCTAAGCCATGGATTTTGAAGGAAATCGTTTCAAACGTAAATAATGGGAACATAAACAGAAAAAATATCATCATTACTATACGTGTAACTTGGTGTTACACAGTAGCTAGGTTTTGTTAGGCGGTAGCTAGGACTTAATGAGTCTGTTCTTTATGGATGTTTTCTTTTTCAGAAATGTGGTAACTTGTTGAAAGTCATGTTTAATTTTTCCAAAAAATAAGAAAAATGATGAAAAGAGAGAAAAGGTCAAAGGAAGCAAGGTGAGAGGAGGGGAGGGAAAGACAGAGAAGAGGAGAAAAGAAGAGAGGAGAGGAGAGGAGAGGAGAGGAGAGGAGAGGAGAGGAGTGGAG